TGATTACTTGGCTAGTTGGCCCCTAGTCTCCCCCTTTCAGTAAAGCTCTTTTGAAGGTGTCAACGAAGCGTTCTGCTTGTCCATTGGATTGGGGGTGGGAAGGTGGGGACCGTAGATGCGTTATGCCGTTTGAACTGCAGAATCTCTTGAATGAGTCCGCAACAAATTGTGATCCATTATCAGTTGCCAAGGTTTCTGGCACTCCAAAACAACTAAATAAGGTAGACAGCTTGTGAATAGTTTCCGAGGCTGTGCAGTTCGGCATGCTGTATATTTCTAGCCATTTCGTATATGCATCCACAATAATTAAGAACATTTTACCTTGGATTGGGCCAGCAAAATCTACATGAATTCTCTCCCAAGGTCCAGTAGATTTTTGCAATTGTTGAGGTTCACATTTCGAAGGGTTTTTGAGGCTTGTAAACAAGAAGAGCAGTTTCGACATTTGTTTTCGATATCTTTATCCATCGAAGGTCAGTAGGTGTAACTGCGCGCCAATGATTTCATCTTGTTTATCCCAGGGTGACCACTGTGAAATTGCTTCAGGATTTTATGTCGCAATAATTCTGAGATAATAATCCGGTCACCAAACATAATGCATGAATCCACAATCATGAGTGAATCACGCCGGCGGAAATATTGTTGCAGTTCTCCTTGTAAACGACGATTCGGCCACTTTGAGAGGAGATAACCCTTAACTTCTTGTAGTATTTTGTCATTTCTTGTAGCTTCTTTAATAGCTTCGAACGTAACCGGTAGACCATCTACTGCGTCTTCCAAAACTCGATGTACTTCTGTCTCTGTCTCAATCGCTGCCACCAAAGTATCTTCTTCGTGATTCGCTTGGGAACCAATTAGCCCAAACAAAGCATCAGCTTGTCCGAAAGCAGTAGTAGGTTGGTATTTGATTTCGAAGTCGTAACCCAATAATGTTGTTCCCCATCGTTGCAGTCTGTTAGCAGTATAGACCAGGATTCCTTTCTTTGACTCAAACATGGCTAGCAGCGGTTTTTGGTCCGTTAAAAGCGTGAACCGGCGTCCAAATATCATCTTATGAAATTTTCTTACCGCAACAATAATTGTTAATGCTTCCTTTTCCATCTGACTACAGTTACGTTCTGCTGTAGTTAAAGACCTTGCTGCATGCGAGATTGCTTTCTCTGATCCATCAGGCATGATATGCGAAATGCTTGCTCCAATGCCGTAGTTTGAAGCATCTGATGCTACTACAATAGGTAGGGATGGGTCATAGTGTGTCAACGACAGATCCGAGAGTATAGTATCCATCACCCGTTGAAATATGGAGGGGGCCGTTTGACTCCAAAAGGTAACCGATTATATCGGAATAGGCCGCTGTGAGTGTTTATAGTAAGCAGATCTTTACTTTCATCCGCGACAGGAATCTGCAAATAAGCTTCCGATAAATCCAGTTTTGTAAACACCTTGCCTCCATTCAGCTTAGCAAAAAGATCCTCAGGTATAGGCAAAGGATACTGGTGGGGTTCTAGCGCATCATTCAGTCCAGTAGAGTAATCTGCGCATAGACGGAAACTGCGTTTGACTTCTTGACCACCACAATCGGTGCAGCCCAATTGGAGAAACTCACATGTTCAATGACACCCAATTTTTGAAGCCGTTCTAGTTCCTGTTCAACTACTGGGAGAGAAGCATAAGGTAAAGGTCTTTTTGGTCGAAAAACAGGAAAAGCTGTTGACTTGAGAGTCAGTAGTGCTTTGGCTTTCGTGCATTCGCCCAACCCTTCTGAAAACACGTGATGATGCCTTTTTATAATGGCATTCCTCTGACTTGACTCTAAAGGGTTATTGATTCTGACTTGGCTGCAGATATTGTTGAGAGGATGATCTGCTAATTTTAATGCATCTATTAGATCCAACCCAAATAAATCGAGTTCCGGGTTCTTGGTTAAGTAAACAGTTGCACTCGTTGTTGCCTCTAGATGCGCTGTGCGCTAGTTGCTTCGTTCGGTGCACTGTAGGTCTCCCAATTTTGTCCCAAGTTTTTGGACTGATTAGGGTGATATCAGATGCTGTGTCAAGAATAATAACAACAATCATTAGAGAGATGTGTCAAATACGCATTCATCGGAGGTAGACTGGGATAACGCTAAAATTTGATCATGTTACACGTTGAATGAAGACATTCTGTGTCGTAGAATGACGGTTCGACACTATCAAGATATGTTCTGCCTGTCTTTCGGTATTTATGTCGATTTCCGATGTGTGAATGTGTGTTTTCGTTCCCGTATCTCGATAATATCATCCATGAATTTAATTTTGATGGTTTAGCGGATGTAGCTTTTGATTCTTGGTTTAAGAAGTATGAGGGTTTGTTCTATATTGATCTCCTCAGACTTGATGACACCCCAAAAGTCAAAATACTTCTGAGAAAACTTGGGAAGATGGAACATAAACTATATCTGTAACAACGTCAGCACGTCGAAAGTTAATGAGAAAAACTTAATGGAAGCATTATTGAAACGACATAATATGGTATTCAGTGATGGTCTTGGAGAGTGCAGCAAATTTAAAGCTGCTCTTACCCTTCGACAAGGATCAAAACCAGTGCTTCGTCCTAAAAGAGCCGTACCATATACCGCCCTCTCAGTGGTTGAACAAGAGCTAGAACAACTTCGGAAACTGGGTGTCATTGAACCGGTGAATTTCTCAGAATGGGCAGCACCGATAGTAGTAGTAAAGAAGACTAATGGTAGCGTCCGTTTATGTGCCGATTACTCAAACGGGTTGAATGAAGCTTTAGAAACTCATCAGTATCCATCGTCCGTACCTGAAGATCTCTTTGCTAAACTGAATCGAGGTAAGCTTTTTGAAAAGTTGGATTTATCGGAGCCTTGCTTACAAATTCCTGTTTCTAACAAGTGTACAAATCCGCTCACCATAAACACACACAAGGGCCTATCCCGGTATAATCGACTATACTTCGGATTCAAGACGTCCCCATCCATATTTCAGCAATTAATTGATACTATGCTCTAGGATGTTCCAGGTGCTGCAGCTTATCTGGATGATATAATAATTATGAGAGTAGCTAGAATAGACTTAGAAGCAAAGCTCGACCAGGTGCTGTCGTGAATAGCTGAGTATGGACTTCGGCCTCGTCCAGAAAAATGTAACTTTTGTCTACAATAGCACGCTACCTTGAATTTATAATCGATAATGATGGCAGAAGACCAGATCCAGAGAATACCCAGGCAGTGAGAACTATGCCCAGACCGACGGACGCTCCCACACTACGATCATTTTTGGGAGCAGTTAGTCACTATAGAACTTTAATTCCGGAACTTCATCAACCACGTGCCTCATTAAATAACTTTCTGGCGAAGGATGTAGAATGGAATTTTTCTGCAACTTGCCAAGCTGCCTTCGATAAAATCAAGAAGTTGCTAGTCTCGTATCTGTTGCTCACCCATTACGATCCATCCTTACCCATTGCAGTAGCATCAGACCTTTCAAACTATGGCACTGAAGCAATTATTTCTCACATCATGCTAGATGGATTGGCGAAAGCCATATCACATGAGGCTAGAACGTTAACTTCAGCAGAACGTAACTAAGGTCAGATCGAGAAGAAGCGTTGTCGATTGTTTTCGCCATAAAATAATTTCACAAGATGATATTTGGACGTTAGTTAACTCTATTAATTGGGCACAAGCCAATTTTGGGTCGAAGAACGGTATACTGATATACACGGCAAACAGACTGCAACGTTGGGGAACTACACTCTTGGGTTATAAAATCAAGGTCAAGCACCAGACCACTACTGATTTTGAACAAGCTGAAGCCTTATCTAGGCTGATTGGTTCACAAGTACAACAGAAAGAAGACATTTTGGTGGCAGCAATCAAGACGGAAACACAAGTATATCGAGTATTGGAAGACGCAGTCGATAGTTTGCCAGTTACTTTAAAAGCCACCAAAGAAGTCACGGAAAATGACAAAACTTTAAGAGAAGTTAGTCGTTATCTTCTCACTAAGTAGCGAAAAGAGAAATGCTACAATATTTTCGCCAACGGGACTCAGTCATGATGGTCGATTCATGTATCGGGTTTGGTGACATAGTTGTTACTCCAAAAACATTGCGCTACAAGTTTCTGAGACAATTCCACAGTGGTCATCCTGGCATTAATAAGATGAAAGCGTTGGCTCGAACCTACGCATACTAGCCTACAATGGATCAAGATATAAAACCAGATGTCGCAATCGTTCATCGTGCCTGCAAGCAGCCTAAAGTCCAAAGAAGTGTGAACCGCAACAATGAGAAAACCCAATAGTCCCTGAGAGAGGCTGCGTGCAGATTTTGCCGGTCCAATACGAGGAAGAATGTATCTAGTCATAGTGAACGCACTCACAAAATGGCCACTAATCTATGTCGTGTTAAATCGCACAACCAATGAAACAATCAGCAAGTTATTCAAACTGTTTAGCTGCTTTGGAGAACTTAAACTAACATGTGAATTTTAATGTCTAAGTTTGTGAACTACCAAACAGTGTTTTGTGTAACTTTGATCGTTATAAAATATGTCATAAAAGCATTCAAGATACTTCACAATCATCTTTGTAGTAGTTCATGGATATTTTGTGATCTATTGACCAGAGTATTACCCTCAGAAGATAAAGGAACTTTGAAGCCTGTGATGCTGCAATCACCATTGACAGATGAAGCAATAGAACGTATTAAGGATAGAACTGGTAAGCAGATCACTGTTGGTGATGTGAAAACTATAAGAGCTCAACTCTCCACAGGTAAGTGTATGTAATTATATTTCAGGTTGTTCCACAATAACACAACAATTTCATTCTTCAGGCGAACAAACAGTATGTACAGGTTTGTAGTGACCTACTTTTGTCAACAGAACGCGATTGGTTCGATGAAAACAATTATTATTATAACCAATTGTACCAGTGATTGTTTTATTGTGCTCGTTTGTTTAACTGTGCTAATAACAGCCATTTTAGTCTTCCATTGTATCCCATTGCTTCTACGCGGTTTTCGACTACGCTCGTATCTTTTCTTGCCGATCGCACCTGTACTCCTTTGGCACGATCTCGGTATTCTTTCGATACCACGAGATTGCCAACAAATATATACGACTACTACAATCATCTGCCTTCTGATATTTTGGCCTACCGGAATTTTATTGGTCTATTGGCAAGTAGTCTGGTAGCGGTGTTCATAGTTCAGCTCAACTCGACACCACGCTACATTTGGTGAGCCAAATTTTGGAACACGCCTCAACTTCGGTCAAATCTTCTGCAACTGGTGAACCTACATCTACGACCACTTGGCAATCGCAACCAAACCTTCCAAAGAAGTCAATTTCGGTGAGTCTATCGCTTATCTATCCACGTCTGTCATATATTTTCATATTAATTTTTAATATATATATTTGACATGAAGGATACCGATAAGAATAGTATTAACGTAATAGACTCTGACGTACAGGTTATACACTTTCGACCTGTATCTTTTATTCCTCACGATCCCGAAGTTTGATTTGCTGGCGAGTAAAAGCGGCCGTACTCGCCGGCCCTGCCCCCCAGGTTGGCCGTTTATTTTACGTGCACGATTATCGCACAAACGCTAGGTACCTAGTGGATACAGGTGCCCAAGTTTCTGTCGTACCACGAGGTAGCATCAAGTCACAAGCTACAATGCTTCAATTACGCGCTGCAAATGGCTCAGCCATTCCTACCTACGGTACACGACAACTCGCGGTCAACCTGGGCAATCGACGACGGTATCTGTGGACGTTCATCATTGCTGATGTTCCCACAGCCATACTAGGTATTGATTTCTTACAGCACTATGAATTGCTAGTCGATTCACGTAGGCTGCAGCTAATCGATACTTCGTCGAGCAGTAAATTCTTGGGCTTTAAAGCTCACACAAACGCGTACCGAATCCTCGGCACTTTTTATTCGCGTGACGACAAATTCCACGCCTTATTCGAGAAATTCCCCAGATTAACTAAACCACTCGAGGAGATTTCATCGGTGACCAATCGTGTGGTACACCACATAGTCACCCGCGGACCACCAGTCACGGCAAGACCACGCCGACTGGCACCGGACAAATTAGCTTTCGCTAAACGTGAGTTTGACAATTTACTATCTGCTGGTATTATTCGTCCTTCTCACAGTCCTTGGGCCTCTCCTTTACACATGGTGCGCGAAAAGGATGGGGTTAGTTGGAGACCATGCGGCGACTACCGAGCATTAAACGTAGTTACGCGCTTTGATAGCTACCCCATCCCCCACATACCCGACATCACGGCATCGCTGAAATGCACGACTATCTTTTCTAAGATCGATCTGGTACGAGCATATCACCAGATCCCAGTCGCTCTTGAAGACATCGAGAAAACTGCTATCACGACTCCTTTCGGTCTGTTTGAGTTCCTACGAATGCCATTTGGATTACGAAATGCTGCTCAAACTTTTCAAAGGTTTATCGATAGCATAGTACGAGACTTGGATTTTGTTCACGTCTATATTGATGACCTGCTGATCGCATCATCAAACGTAGATGAACATTATCAACACCTTACGCTATTATTCCAACGTCTTTCGGATAATGGAATAGTAGTCAACCCAGAGAAATGTGAGTTGGGTAAATCAGAAATAATATTTCTGGGTCACATCATCAGACAAGAGGGTATTCTGCCTTGCGAGGACAAAATTCGAGCAATCAAGGAGTACAACGTGCCGTCCTCAATCAAGGAACTGAAGGCTTTTCTCGGTTTGGTTAACTTCTACCGACGTTTCATCCCTCACGCGGCAGAACGGTTACGACCATTAACCGATTTACTACGCGGTAATCCACGCAAATTAGAATTGAACGATACCGCACGTACTGCATTCTCAGAGATCAAAACGGCTCTCGCTGAAGTTACACTTCTCGCTCATCCTGACCCATCAGCCACGCTTAGTATAGCGGTTGATGCATCAGATTTCGCTATAGGAGCCGTCATGCAACAGAATATCTCCGGTAGTTGGCAACCGCTCGAATTTTTCTCACGACGCCTTACTCCCACGGAGACGAGATATAGCGCTTTTGGTCGCGAGCTGCTTGCAGCCTACTGCGCCATCAAACATTTCCGGCACGCAGTAGAAGGACGTCAATTCATCTTATTCACCGACCATAATCCCTTAACGTATGCCCTGCATACCAAGTCTGACCGCTACTCACCACGAGAGTGCAGACATTTGGACTATATCTCACAGTTCACGACAGACCTTCGTCACATTAAAGGCGAGTCGAACTATGTTGCCGATGCTCTTTCACGTATCCAGACGAATGCAGTTACTTTACCGGTGCTCGATCTTCCTGCTATGGCCGCCGCACAAGCAAACGATCCTGTCTGTACAGAAGCACCACAATCTTCGTCCCTTCAGTGTCAGGAAGTACCTCTAGCTACTAGCTCAGGTACTATCCTATGTGATATTTCTACCGGTCTTCCTCGACCCATCGTACCCTCTACCTATCGCCGTCTCGTCTTCGATGCCCTTCATGGATTGTCTCATCCAGGTATCGCAGCCACATTACGCCTCATCGCTGCACGATACGTCTGGCCGTCCATGAATAAAGATGTTCGTATGTGGGTAAAGCAATGCTTACAGTGTCAACTATCAAAAGTGCACAGGCACGTAGCTGCCCCCATCGGCACGTTCGCTACGCCTGATGCTCGCTTTGATCACGTTCATATAGACATTGTACGACCATTGCCGCTGAACTTGTATACGGCACGACATTGCGTCTGCCTGGGGAATTCTTCACACCACGGAGCAGTAATGATTTTGGTAAATCAGACTACGTCCATCGACTGTCTGCATTTATGCGAACGCTGTCTCCGGTGTCGACCCGAATACAACATCGACAGGTCGCTCTCCCTCGAGAGTTATCTACCTGTTCACATGTTTTCATACGAGTAGATTCGGTACGCAAACCTCTACAACAGCCTTACGAAGGCCCTTTTCACGTGATCTCTCGTCACGAAAAGACCTTCAAGGTTGATCGACACGGCCGCGTCGAGATCGTCAGCATTGATCGTCTCAAACCAGCACACGTCGATGACAGTGCCCTACCCGATAACTTGAGACTCAATGCTAGACCTATTCAACCTTCTAGCGGGATCTCTACGTCTACCTCGGATCCCACGCTAGATACATCAGAGACCTCATTCTCACGTCCCGGTCAACAGCACGCGTCATCTGCACCATCTACGGACGAGACTTCCGTCTCACGTCCAGATCAGCAGACCACGCCGCCCTTGACCTCGGATGGGATCGCAGGCTCACGAAGTACGAACGAGACCACCGTCTCACGTTCCGGTCGCCGAGTACGATTACCCGTACGCTTTCGCGACTAAACGCACAGTCAATAACAGATACGGTGTAGGATTATTCCTATACTACACGCATGCTACACTTTTCTTTTTTTGATTTCTTTTTGTATCCTGAGCCCACGCCTCCGACCATCGCCCGTTTGATAACGTCGACTTCAGTCAACTTTGGCAAAAGCTGGTTTGGCCACCCACGCTCTAGTCAACGCACTCAGTCGATTATCTGGTCTCGAATTCGCCTGGCATACGCTTGGTAGTTATGGTCGCGTCCGGTTTCTTGGCTCAACGTGGTTTCGTCCTACGTCTGCAGCGTTTTCTGGTCCGCATCCATACGAACGCAATCATCAGATCCTGGATACAAACCACTCTGGTGTGGTATGCTAACTCGACCAACAAATACAGCACACTTCTCCTGGTACCGTTCTGCGCAAAAGACTTTCGTTGGCAACTCGAGGATCAATGATCACTTCCTGTTCCGCCAATTTCCTCCGTCCTACAACCGCAATTCTGCTGAGCAGTCCCACGAATCAAACCGCTAACTATCGAAAGTGTAAACCCTTTCTAGCGGGGGGCTCATGTAGTGACCTACTTTTGTCAACAGAACGCGATTGGTTCGATGAAAACAATTATTATTATAACCAATTGTACCAGTGATTGTTTTATTGTGCTCGTTTGTTTAACTGTGCTAATAACAGCCATTTTAGTCTTCCATTGTATCCCATTGCTTCTACGCGGTTTTCGACTACGCTCGTATCTTTTCTTGCCGATCGCACCTGTACTCCTTTGGCACGATCTCGGTATTCTTTCGATACCACGAGATTGCCAACAAATATATACGACTACTACAATCATCTGCCTTCTGATATTTTGGCCTACCGGAATTTTATTGGTCTATTGGCAAGTAGTCTGGTAGCGGTGTTCATAGTTCAGCTCAACTCGACACCACGCTACAGGTTCACCAAAGCTACAAAAGGCACAAACAACAGATTGTTAAGAAGTATAGTGAGCGCTTTGCGATGCTATCGGACAGGAACTTCGACAATTTTTACTTGTGAATCATCAATAACTAGACAAGACTTAAGTTTTTCTAACGCTTGTCTCTGTATAGTCCTCTTTATGATATAAAGTATGGCAAGGAATATAGCAAAGTATGGAGACGTGAGAGGAACTGTTTACTATGAGAAGTTCTTTGTGATTGTGTTTTTACCTTCACTATATATACAACTTGTAAACTGATTTTGCTGCATTAAATGTCGCTCTTCCTTTACCAGCAGTATTCATACGTCAATAAACTTCTGTCCAAATTCTTCTTTTCATCGTCTTCGTAATTTTATAGTGAGGTGTACAGATAATCTTGACGGGTAAATGTTGTTGAAAATTAGAAACAACTAAGTGTTTGCTTTATAAGTACCTGTTTTGTTATGAAAACTTGTAGTACTGCATCAGTTTAGAAGTTTCGCCAAAATGTTGCATTGCATATATAAGTTTCTTCACTAAGACAATATATTCAGTTAAATACTAGTAAGATTTATGGCATAAAAGACTGACTACATTTGTTATATTTAAATGTGAATAATTCATTAGATGAAAAACGTGGCAGTAATTTATTGTCAAACTGTAAATTGTTTGTTCACGTATTTTCTATATTCGGAAGTTTTTCAAGTTGCTTGCCTGTATAGACCAGATTATTAGAAAGATTTTGGCCTTTTAGTTAATTTACAGAAGCCATAAGTTGCATATCAGAAGACGTATGGATAGATTTCCAGCTTTATCAATACAGTTGTGTAAAACAACATATCCATCATGAAACAAATGGTTCAACTACGTTATCAGTATCAAATTCCATAAGCAAATGGAATAGCAACTAACAGAATTTACCCTTAAGTGTCTTACTCTTAGAAGTTCACCTAGTCATTTGGAATTTGCAAAGGAATTGCAGGCACCGAATGACCTGATTCAAAAACTTCAAGTAATATCATGAAAATTGAGAATATTCTAATTACAACGTTCATAATACTATTAGCAAATCACAGTTTACATACAATAATAACATTATTAAAAAGCACTATTTAGATATTACTCATTAATACCTATCAGATATTTGTTTATATTTTGGTCAGTGACTGCAGATTCTGTTCACAGAAATCCATTCACAATCTCTATAACATGCACATCATAAATTCGTATTCACTAAAAACATAGTTCAGTTACCATGCTCAAAATAGATAAACATCGTTTTACTTATGAAGAATATGTCACTAATTAATGTGACACAGTTATTTGACACACGGTTCCTGGGCATACTCAGTAAGCGGACAAAACAGGCTATCAACGTCAATTTTTAATCACATAACTTTTTTTCTCAAATTAGTTATATAGTAACATGTCAGTTCTGTCAGAAATGATGGATAGAACTGTTTGTGGTTGTGTGCTACCAACTTATCCCAAGCTCCCAACTTTGGGGAAATTTTTGGGATAATTCCCAAATCATGCGTAGCACATCATTCCAGAATGACATTTTATATGCATTCGATTATTAAACGTTAAAACATTAAATTACAATGAATATGTGTTAATTTTTATACAATGAAGACTTTTGGTCATGAATAGTCTATCCACTTTCACGTCTTGTTTTAATACGTCAAACAGACACGAGACAATGAGTTGTCGTCTGTAAACTACTTTTTCAAAATTCGGACGCCATGTAGGTGAGTTATTCGCACTGTCGAAATCTTCGATTACAGTAGCTGTTCAGTCTCGCTTAAGTTAATTGTCTCTTTCAGAAAAATAATTTACAGCTTGATAAGATTGCTAAAAATTGGGCTCAAGCCGCCAGAGACTTGAGGTTGCTGGACTGTCCCAGATCAACGTATTACAGAAGGTTGCAGAAGTTAAGAGATAAATTCATAAAAAAGTATCAGTTAACCAGCAGTGACGAAGAGGACGACAATTCAGTTGTCGTCACAAAAGTAGGTACCATGGTAGCTACAGAGCAGTGTAACAATATTGTCTCAGAAACAGCCACTGCTTCATGTAGTTATGTCCAGTGTTGTGGCAGTACAGCCGATGGTAGTGTAGCTTTATTAATTAACAATTCATTGGTGGTGTTCTTCCACAAATGTCTCCACCCAGTCATCTTTCAATGAAAGAACAGGTCGGCAGAATTGTCATTGGCATGATGAAAGGTGGTGATATAACCGTGAAGAAGGCTGACGAAATTCTGGGCTTCTTTCTCGTGCGCATTCCTGAACTCCCAACATCCGTCCGAGGTGTTCTACGTCGATGCAACGACGTGGAGCCTGAAATTCTGGGATTGGAGACTTACTACCATTTGGGATGGGAATCGAATCGGCTGAGGATTTCCGAAACTTCGCTACGTAAAATCCGTTTTACAGAACTGAAGCTGCAGTTGAACTACGATGGTCTAAGCTTATTTAAAAGCTCTAGCCAACATCTGTGGCCGATACTAGGTCGCATAGCGGGTCCATTAGTTAGTAATGTTTTTATAGTTGGGATATATGGTGATGAAGTGAAACCATCTGCTTTCAACGACATGTCAGCAGCACTTATAACTAAGTTACGAGAGTTGCTGACAGTAGGTATTAGTGTAGATAAGTATCAGGTACATTTAACAGTTAAATTGGTTGCTGTTATTTGTGACGCTTCAGCTCGCAGTAACGTTCGGTATGTTGTTGGACACAACGGTACCGCTGGCTGTGACAAATGTCATGTTTTAGGGATACGAATGGGTGGTCGAATGACTTTCCCCATTGGTGAACACGCATTGAGAAATGATGTCACTTTTCGTAGTAAGTCCCAATCCACACAGCATCGTGGTGGAATTTCATTTGAAACTCTGCCATTGGATATGATAAAATGGTTCCCCTCTGAACCTATGCATATGATTTACTTAGGTATCACTAAAAAACTCATTTCATTATGAAAGGACCTAGCTATTAAGCGACTTGATAGGATAATAATAATAATAATAATTTATATTCTGAAAAAATTATAATTACAGAATTCACGCCAGTTTACAGGCATGATCAATTTGATATAAATATCATTATATGTACAGAACAAACATGTGTTATGAGTTTTAAGTTTACTAGCTCAGTAATTGTTTGGGTATTACAGCGATCCAATGTATCAGCCGGGAACATGTAATATTTCTTAACTGGACTGTCTGTTGATTTATAAACGATGTAATTAAGGTCATTTCGTGTGCCAGATCGATTTAATGATAAATATCTACAACTAGAGAAATTAAAACGAAAACAGAGAGCACGGAACAACAAAGCAGTAATTACCGAAATATGTCAAACAGATCTATCAAAATGCGTATGTCATGTGACACAGTGGTATACTGCTGATGATATTCAAATTAGTTAAACTAGCTGGGGACGGTATTAACATAAAGTGACAGCGAGTAGGTGGTTTTATCCAGAGAATGCACTAATAAAAATGCCTAAACATTTAAAGTTCCTATAATAACACTTGTGGAGTGAGATACACTTGCGGGTGCTAGAGCATTCAATGCATTTTCGGAGGAGCGATATGCATCGATGCAACGTACAAATGATGGGAGTGATTTAATCGTACGGATATGTTCTGGTAGGTTATTCCAGAGTCTAGAAAATTTACAGGCAAAGTAATTCATATAAAGAGATGATTTAGAATAAGTTAGTTTCACAAGTGCCAAGGAATTACGGGTTTCATAATGAGGAGTCTCTGCATATTGAATTACATGATTGGATGTAAAGGATAATTTATTAAGTAGTTTGAAGAAAAAAATAAGATTTAGTTTGAGTCTCCTCTTCCATAAAGGGTCTAGCTCTAGTTTTTTACATCTAGAATTATAAGTTAAGGAACAATCAGCTCCAAGAATACGAAGTGTAAATCGTCTCTGTACTGATTCCAGCCTTAATTTATCCTTTATGCGCGCACTACTAAGAATAAACGTGCAATATTCTAGAAGAGGTCGAACACAAACTTTGTACATTAAAATTCGTGATTCATTGTTATGAAGGTTTCGAATTATGTAACCTACTAGTCGTTGTGACTTGGAGGTCTGTTTCGATATCTGTTCTGTAAGCGATAAGTCTTGGGAGTATCTGAGTCCCAAGTCTACTACTGTATGTAACCTAGTTAACATTTCTCCATTTATGGTAAGGTCTAGGTTAAGTGATGTATCGCCGAAGCATATCCGTCCACATTTAGCCGTATTAAGTTCCAGTTGCCATTTTAAGCACCACTGTGCTACCTTGTTAAGCTCCAAGTTAATGCAAGTTTGCACATTTTCCAGCTCATGTGGAGAAAATGAATATACTAGTTTAAGATCATCTGCATATAGAAGGGGCTTACCTACACAAAAATTTTCGCAAATGTCATTGATAAACACTAAAAAGAGCAAAGGGCCTAAGACACTACCTTGTATTACACCACTTCTAACGGGGACAGCGTTAGACAATGAAGAGTTAATTTTAACTATTTGATGTCGACTGCTGAGAAATGATTCAATCCAATCTAGCAAAGGATTTTGAACCCCATAAGATGCAAGTTTGCCTATAAGAAGTTGGTGGTTAACCATGTCAAAGGCCTTAGAAATGTCCAGATATAGCACTAAGACTAGATATCCTTGGCTACGTAGAGAGTAGACTAAATTAAAGAAGTCGAAATGACATGTCATGCAAGATCGATTTTTGAGAAATCCATGTTGAGTATCATTGATAAAGTTTCCAGCGAGTAAATAGTTGGAAAGTTCATCACTTACAATTTTCTCCATAATCCTAGAGATCACTGGAGTAATATTTATTGGCCGATAATTGTTCATGTCAGTCTTATCTCCAG